CCGGGGTGGGGACCCGGGCCGGGGACCACCCCCGCCGCTGCTGCTGTTTCTGGGGGTCATGTTAGTCTTCACTGCTGGGGCCGTGCCGGGTAGGTAATCGACTGGAATGGGGGGCCAGGCGGGGGGGGGGATTCGAGGTAAACCCCTCGCGCCCCACCCCGAGCTGGTGGGGTGCAGCGGTGGATGAAATGTGGGTGACGGTGTGAGTGGGGGGGTCCCCCCCTCTCCTGGCTTCACATACAGGTGGAGTCTTGAGAGCTGTGGCCAAGGGGGCGGGGCACCGCCTTGCCCGCCGCCTGGGACCCAGACGGGGAGTTGGGGGGGAAGAGAAGGGAGGGAAAAGCGAGGGGGGGTGCACTGCAGGAGAAAAGGAGGGGTAGCACGGGAGGGTGGGCAGACTGTGGGGGTGCTGCCGGGAGCAGAGCGCGCGGACCACAGGGTGGGATAGAGAGACAGGAGGGGGTGTGGGGGAAGGTCTCTGTGGGCGTGGCCTACATGCTGGGGCGTGGTCTTTAGGTTCTGGGCGTGGCCTGTGTGGGGCGTGGTCTTGCCTGCTGGGCTGGCCTATTCGAGGAGGTGATCTGCACGTGGGCGTGGTCTTGCGCGCTGGGGTGGCCTATTCGAGGGCGTGGTCTTCACGTGGGGCGTGGTCTTGCGGGCTGGGCTGGCCTATTCGAGGGCGTGATCTGCGTGTGGGGCGGGGTCTATTCGGGGCGGGGTCTGGCTGGAGGGGCGGAGCCCGGAGGGTAAGACTTCTGACCCGTCCTTCCCCCCCTACGTCAGAGTTGGGGGCCCTCCTGGGGCTTAGCCTCTCACTCCGCGGGTACTGTGTCTGTAGCTGGGCTGGAACTGGGGGGGCAGTGGGAGATGGGGGGTAACCACGGATTTATGTATATTTCTTTGACGGGGGGGCGGAGCTTAATCTTGGGGCGCGGGAAGGTGGGGTTCTGAGAGCCAAGCAGCATTGGTTGCCACTAGGGTGGACGGACCCTCTCCCCCCCCACACCTCCTGGATGCCCTCCCACTCCTGACGCCCCCCCCCTCCCGCCCACAGCGCGCGAGTCAGACAGCGCCATCGAGGCGGAGGAGCTGGGGAAGAGCGGCCTGGCCTGGGCACCGCGTGCCAATGACACGCGGGAAGAGGCTGGCGCGGCCGTGGCTGCGGGAGACAAGACCACGTGGACGGCGCCTGGCGGCGAACCGGCGGCCGCTGCTGCCGTGGACCCCGGGGTGGGGCCCGAGGAGACACTGGAGGCCTCGGCAGCCGTGACGGGCACAGCCTGGCTGGAGGCAGACAGCCCCGGCCTGGGCGGAGTGATGACCTCAGAGGTGGGCAGTGGCGAGGCCCAGGCCCTTCCAGCGACCCTCCAATCCCCCGATGAGGCCCTCGGGCGATCGACGATGCCCCCGCCCTCCCCTGAGGCCACTGTAGCCCACGGACCACCCGCCCCTATGACTACGGATGGCCGGCTGGGCACAGGCTCTGAATCCCCCAAGGAGAGCCCCTTGGAGGTTTGGCTGAACCTGGGAGACAGCACACCCGACCCTCAAGAGCCAGACCCCACCCACCCCCTTAAAGGCACCCTAGAGCCCCAACTGCCGTCCGAAATCATTGACATCGACTACTTCGAAGGCCTGGATGGCAGAGATCGTGGTGCAGACCTGGGGAGGTTCCCGGGCTCCCCGGGGGTCTCAGAACCTCACCCCGAGGCTGACGGAGAGACCCCTTCTTGGAGTCTGCTTGACTTATACGATGATTTCACCCCCTTTGATGAATCCGATTTCTACCCCACCACGTCCTTCTATGATGATCTAGAGGAAGAGGAGGAGGAGGAAGAGGAGGAGGACGAGGACAAGGATGCAGTGGGAGGTGGAGACCTGGAAGATGAACATGACCTTCTGCCCTCTCAGAAGCCCGGGATGGGGCCTGGTGCAGGCCAGCCCACTAGTCGGTGGCATGCTGTCCCTCCACAGCATACTCTGGGGATGGTCCCTGGTGGCAGCATCGCCCTCAGGCCCCGCCCAGGAGAGCCGGGCAGGGACCTGGCCAGCGAAAATGGCACTGAGTGTCGCAGTGGCTTCGTGAGGCATAATGGCTCCTGTCGGTCAGTGTGTGATCTCTTTCCAAGCTACTGTCACAATGGCGGCCAGTGCTACTTGGTGGAGAACTTAGGGGCTTTCTGCAGGTAAGGGTGTGTCAGGCACCTGAGTTGGAGTTTATTAAAAAAAAAAAAGAAGAGAAAGAAAATCATCTGAAAAGAGTAGATGAGGGGAGGGAGGGAGGCTGGGAATGTGACTTTAGTGATCGTGCATGAAGCCCTGGGTTCGATTCCTCAGTACCACTTTAAGCAAAAGCCGGAAGGGGCGCTGTGGCTCAAGTGCTGGTTTTGAGCAAAAGCAAGCTCAGGGACGGTGCCCAAGCCCTGTACCCAGACATTGTAGATTCCCAAGTCAAGAGAGATTTTATTAGCCAGTCTCACACCTATCATCCCAGCTACCCCAGGAGGCTGAGGATCATGGTTTGAAGCCAGTCCAGGGAAAGAAACTCCATGAGACTTATCTTCAGTTAAGTACCAAAGAAGCCAGAAGTGGAGCTGTGACTCGTGATAGATCACTAGCCTTAACCAAAAAAAAAAAAAAGCTCAGGGACAGCACCCAGGCTCTGAGTTCAAGCCCTAGGACCTGCACAAAACAAAAGAAAGAAAGAGATTTTACTCAAAGCCTGGTGTGGTAACATATGGCTGTGATCTCTGTTCTGGGGTGGGGATGGAGGGTAGAATTAGGAGGATGACCATTCTCTTATCACTGAGAGAGAGGTTTCTAAGAAATAAGATTTTGTGAGTCCTCTACACATTGTGTCTTCACCCAAATCACTCTATGCAAAAGGCAAGGCTTCTCTGAAGGTTTTGCAAAGAAGCCTTTGTGAGACTGAAGGTTAGTTTGTGTGTGTGCGTGTGCATGTGTGCACGCACGCGCGCTTGTGTGTGTGTGTGTTTTCCTGGAGAATGCTGGCCATGTTCATAAACAGGGCTGGGAATGTGGCTTAATGGGTAGAGTGCTTGCCTTGCATGCATGAAACCCTGGGTTCAATTCCTCAGTACCACATACACAGGAAAAGCCAGAAGTGGTGCTGTGGCTCACATAGTAGAGTGCTAGCCTTGAGCCAAAGCAGCTCAGGGACAGTGCCCAGGTCCTGAGTTCAAGTCCCAGGAATGGCAAAACATAAATAATAAATAAGAAGGCAAGCCTGGAAACTCACTCTGGAGGAAGGATGGCTTCTGCAGGCAGCAGGCAGGCTAAAACTGAAGGCAGGAGGTGGGCCTGTCAAGTAATAGTGATGACCCTGGAGGAAAAGCCAGAGGAGTGTCCACTTCACAGGAGAAATCAAGCTGGGTCTTTCCTCAAACCTTGTGGATGGGAGGTGTTTCTTCATTATGTATGATGGATCTTTGCTTCTGTGTGTGTGTGTGTGTGTGTACTGGTCACGAGGCTTGAATCAGGGCCTAGGCACTGTCCTTGAGCATCTTCGGCTCAAGGCTGTTAGTGCTCTACTCTTGGAGCCATAGCACCACTTCCAGATGTTTCTAAATAGTTTGTTAGAGATAAGAGTCTCACAGACTTTCCTGCCCAAGCTGGCTTTGACCCACTCTCCTCAGATCTCAGTCTCCTGAGTAGCTAGGATGACAGGTGTGAGCCACCAGTGCCTAGCGGCTCTTTACTTTCTATTTCCATTGAAGAGTTTAAATATCCCTGAAATGGCCTCAGCCACATCCTACACCTTGTCAGTGAATACCTGTGTCATCTCACTCACCAGGGAAGTTCTGCTGTCTCCTTGAGAGCATACTGCCTTCTCCTGGAAGGACTGCAAGTCAGGGTTTATCCAGGTGCTACAAGTGAAGCACTGCACTCCGACTCCTCTGACTCATTCCCATTGGTTTGGGAAGAACATGACTCGTTTTCTGTAGATTTCTTTTTAAGGTGTTATTCTCAAAGCTGCCACTTTTCTTTTCCAGTCCTGGAGTTTGAACTCAGGGCCTGGGCTCTATCCCTGAGCTTCTTTTGCTCAAGGTTAGTGCTCAACCACTTGAGCTACAGCGCCACTTCCGGCTTTTTTCTTTTTGCTTATGTGGTGCTGAGGAATTGAACCCAGGGCCTCATGCATGCTAGGCAGGCACTCTACCTTAGTAAGCCACCTTCCCAGCCCAATGCTGCTGCTTTCTTTAGAACTATGTGAAGTCTAGTTTCATACAGAAAGCCATGAGGCCTGGCTGGCAGCTCATGCCTGTAATTCTAGCTACTGAGGAGGCTGATATCTGAGGATCAAGGTTTGAAGCTAGCCCTAGCCAAGGAAATCCATGAGACTCTGATCTCTGATTAACTACCAGAAAGGCTGGAATTGGAGCTGTGGTTCAAGTAATAGAGTGCTAGCCTTGAGCAAAATAGCTCAGAGGCAGTGCCCAGGCTCTGAATACAAGCATCAAAAAGTAAAAATAAAAAATAGAGAAGGTGAAGGGCTGGGAAGGTGGCTCAGTGGTAGAGCGCTTGCCTTGCATGCATAAGGCCCTAGGTTCGATTCCTCAGCACCACATAAACAAAAAGAAAAAAGCCAGAAGTGGCGCTGTGGCTCAAGTGGTAGAGCGCTAGCCTTGAGCTGAAGAGCTGAGGGACAGCGCCCAGGCCCAGAGTTCAGGCCCCACAACCGGACCCAAAAAAAAAACAATAGAGAAGGGGGGATAGGAGGAGGAAGAGGAAGAAGAAGAGGAGGAGGAGGAGGAGGAAGAGGAAGAGGAGGAGAAGGAAGAGGAGAAAGAAGAAGAGAAAGAGGAGGAAGAAGGAATAGGAGGAGGAGGAGCACTGAACGTTGTACCTTTGGCACCGAAGCTGAGTTCCAGTTCTATTCTATAGATGATCATGACCCGTAGGGTCACTAATACAGTATGTGACCCACACAGTTCTGGTTGGAGTTGTCCAACCATTGCCAAGAATAGGTTCTCTGATTTAGAAATTAAGGCAGGCCAGTGCCCGTGGCTCATACCTGCAATACTAGCTACTCAAGAGGCTGAGATCTGAAGATCAAGGCTCAAAGCCAGGTCAGGCAGGAATGTCTGTGAGACTCTTATCTCCAGTGAACCACAAGAAAACCAGAAGTGGCGCTATAACTCGCTTTGAGCTGAAGAGCACAGGGACAGCGCCCAGGCCCAGAGTTCAAGTCCCACGACCAAAGGCTGGAAGTGACGTCGTGGCTCAAAATGCTTGAGTGCTAGCCTTGGGCCAAAGAAGCTCAGGGACAATGCCAAGACCCTGAGTTCAAGCCCTAGAACTAGTGAAAAAAGAAAAAGAAAGATATTTGGAAGACCTTGCCCGCTCATTAAGGGCTACCAGAAATTTGAGGGAACTCTGGTTTTACTTCCATCTGGTAAAGTGTAGTGATGTTTACCTTGAAAGATGGAGAATCTCTAATGTAAAATCATCTCATCCTACTGAAGGTCTAGGGGGGTGTGTGTGTGTGTGTGTGTGTGTGTGTGTGTGTGTGTGTGTGTGTGTGTATGCTGGTTCTAGGTCTTGAACTCAGGGCCTAGGCGCTGTCCCTCAGCTCTTCAGCTCATGACCAGGGCTCTACCACTTGAGCCACAGCTCCACTTCTGCTGGGGTTTTTTGTTTTGTTTTGTTTTTGGTGGTTAATTAGAGATAAGAGTCTCATGGGCTTTTTTTTTTTTTTGCCTTGGCTGACTTCTAACCATGACACTCAGATCTTATTGAGCCACTAACGCCTGGCTTTTTTTTTTTTTTTTTGCCAGTCCTGGGGCTTGAACTCAGGACCTGGGCACTGTCCCTGAGCTTCTCTTGCTTAAGCCTAGCACTCTACCACTTGAGCCAGGGCACCATTTCTGTTTTTTCTGTTTAGGTGGTACTGAGGAATCGAACCCAGGGCTTCATGCATGCTAGGCAAGCACTCTACCACTAAGCCACCTTCCCAGCCCACAAACCTGGCATTTTTAACCTTCCAAGCGAGCTCCCTCATCTGTGTGCTGGCTCTAGAGAGCTGTAGATGCACCCAGGACCTTCTAGAACTGGCGAGGAACTCCCAAGTGGAAGAGTATGATTGTCCTTTTCCTTAATCTGCTGGGCTTTGCTGCTCATGGGGTCCACAGTCTGTCTCTACCTGCTCACTCCAGTCCTCCTCGCTTTAGCTGCCCTCCCAAGATCACCTTCCCAGACTCCTGCACCCACTCGGCACACCCAGGCCTGGCCAAAGGCTGGAAAACTATTTTACATTCCACTCACAGGGAACTGCTGAGCTTTTTAGTTACAGACCGCAGTGTGCCTTTGTCTCTGTCACCCTGACCCACTGCAGGCGAAAAACCGATGGGGATGGGGGGGGAGGGAGGGTGGCAGGGGGGAGCTATGGCAGAATTCCTCTAGAACTCTAGGTTAAGAGGGCCCCCACTTAGAGAGGGGGGATCCGCACTTCCCTAGCAACCCCAAACACTATAGTCTTTTCCCCTACCCCCACCCACCCGCCGGTGACTACAGAGAGGGTTCGGTTTGGAAAACAAAAGAGGAATGATTCCTTCGGTTGGTGATGTAGAATAGACGATTCTTTGGCCACATCCCCCCCCCCCCGCTCCCCCTCCCCAGCCCCAGCTCTTGGGCCTCTTTCTCTAGTGTGTCATTCACCCCGAGGTTCGTGTCCTCTCTCCTTTGCCTGCCACTGTATCCTTCCACATCTTTTCCTCTTTGAAGCAGCCTGGTTCCCATGGAAACAGCAATGTCATTGGAAGAGTTGGAGCCTGGGAATGTCCCCAAGGGCAGAAGAAAGTCATTCCACAAAAGGACTGAGACCCACCCAGAGAGTTGCTTCTCAGTGTGTTTGCTTCATAAGTTCTCCTAGTCAGAGGGCCACTTGAGGGGCCAAACTTGTGGGGTATGAGGAGAAGGGGAGGCGGCTGAGATAAGAAGAAGATATACATCCATCTTTAGGTTTTTTTTTGTCCTTGTTCGCCAGCTCCTGATTTTTTTTTTTTTCAGTGTCTAGTTAACCAGATGAACCAGATAGGATACAAAGTAGCCTGCTCAGCTTTTATGTAGGGTGGATCCTGGGGCTAGTACCCATAGCTCTTGTTTATCCTGAGCCTTCATCTGTCTTTTATCCAGAAAGAGGCCGGGGCAGGCAGAGGACCCGATAGAACCCTGTGGTTGTCTTGCTTGAGGCTGCAGGGCAGAAGATCCTATTTGTCTGCAGTCACTCAATAGCCGAGTTAAAATTCAGCTGTTGGGCTGGGAATGTAAGGATCACCATTCCAAGCCAGGCAGGAAAGTCCCTGGGACTCTTACCTCCAATTAACCACTCAGAAAAAGTCAGATGTAAGGCTGGGAATGTGGCTTAGTGATAGAGTGCTTGGCCTAGCATGTATGAAACCTTGGGTTTGATTCCTCAGTACCACCTACACAGAAAAAGCCGGAAGTGGCCCTGTGTGGCTCAAGTGGTAGAGTGCTAGCCTTGAGCAAAAGAAGCTCAGGGACACAGTGCCCAGGCCCTGAGTTCAAGCCCCAGGAATGACCAAAAAAAAAAAAAAAAACAGGATGGGATGAGATCTGTACAGATTAAGGGGTAGACAGTCCCAAGAGCAGGTTGTGGGGGTGAGCATTGGGCTCAAGGACGTGACCCACACTGCCTGCCCCATCTCCTCCGTCTCTCTATGTTACTGCTGCAGGTGTAACACACAGGACTACATCTGGCACAAAGGGACGCGCTGCGAGTCGGTCATCACTGATTTCCAGGTGATGTGTGTGGCTGTCGGCTCGGCCGCCCTCGTGCTGCTCTTGCTCTTCATGATGACCGTGTTCTTTGCCAAGAAGCTCTACCTGCTCAAGACAGAGAACACCAAGCTCCGCAGGACCAGGTGAGGCTTGGCCATCTGACCTCGCTGGGTGGAAGGTACCCACCGACCTCTGACCCCAGGAACTTAATCATGAAGGTTTCTGGCACCTGATGCCTACCACTAGCCCTTTTTTTTTTTTTTTTTTTTTGGTCCGGTCGTGGGGCCTGAACTCTGGGCCTGGGCACTGTCCCTCAGCTCTTCAGCTCAAGGCTAGCGCTCTACCACCTGAGCCACAGTACCACTTCCGGTTTTTTCTTTTTTGCTTATGTGGTGCTGAGGAATGGAACCCAGGGCCTTGAGCATGCAAGGCAAGCGCTCTACCACTGAGCCACCTTCCCAGCCCATCCACTAGCCCTTTTTTGTTCATGCTAAACATTCACTCCCAAGCCGGGCACTGGTGGCTCACGCCTGTCATCCTGGCTACTCAGGAGGCTGAGATCTGAGGATTGTGGTTTGAAGCCAGCCTGGAAAGAAAAGTCCATGAGACTCTGATCTCCATTTAAGTAGTAGAGTGCTGACCTTGAGCAGACAAAGCTAAAGGGCAGTGCCCCGGCCATGAGTACCAAGACTCAGTACAAGCACCAAAAAGAAAAAGTAAAAGCAAAGAATCTCATTTCAGCAACTGCTTCGACAGCCATGCCTCGGTGGGCATCTGAGAGTCAGCCCGCATTTCCCATTAGATATCTGCTTCCAATAATCTTGTGTGACTTATACACTATGAGAAAAATCTCTTGGGTTTGTGTGGGGGGATGTATGTGTGTGTGTGTGCACTGTGTGTGTGGTGTTTAGCTTTTTGGTTTTGTTTTGGATTTTTTTTCCCCTTGGTGATTGTCCTGGGGCTTGAACTCAGGGCCTGGGCACTGTTCCTGAGCTTTTGTGCGGAAGGTTAGCACGCTACCACTTGAGCCACAGATCTCCTTCAGCTTTTTTTTTTCTTTTCTTTTTGTTTTTTTGTATGTGTGTGTAGACTTCCCTACCTGGGGTGGCTTTGAACCACAGTCCCCAGATCTCAGCCTCCTGGGTAGCTAGGATGACAGGCGTGAGCCACCAGCGCCTGGTGTAGAGGAATCATTCTTATCACTAAGACAAAGAAAAGTCTTTTTAATGGAGCTGGGAAGGTGGCTCAGTGGTAGAGTACTTGCCTTGCATGCATGAGGCCCTGGGTTCCATTCCTCAGCACCACATAAGCAGAAAAAGCCGGAAGTGGCGCTGTGGCTCAAGTGGTAGAGCGTTGGCCTTGAGCTGAAAAGCTGAGGGACAGCGCCCAGGCCCAGAGTTCAGGCCTCATGACCGACGAAAAAAGAAAAAGAAAGAAAGAGAGAGGAGAGAGAGAAAGAAAGAGAGAAAGGTCTTTTTAATATGTCATTGAAGTTCCAAAAAGGGGCTAGTTCAAAGCCAGCCCAAGCAAGAAAGACTATGGGAATTTTTTTTGTCAGGGTGCTGTCCCTGAGCTTTTTTGATCAAGGCTAGCACTCTACCACTTTGAGCCACAGCACCACTTCTGATTTTCTGGTGATTAATTGGAGATAAAGAATCTCACAGGTTTTCCTGACTAGGCTGGCTTTGAACCGTGATCCTCAGATCTCAGCCTCCTGTGTAGCTAGGATTACCAGCACCCGGCTCCATAAGACTCTTATCTCCAATTAACCACCAAAATTTAAAAAGCCAAAAGTGGAGCTATGGCTCAAGTGGTAGAACACCAACCTTGGAGCACCAAAGCTCAGGGACAGGGTCCATCCAGGCCCTGAGTTGAAGCCCAGAGAGAGAGAAAGAGAGAGAGAGACTGGACCTCAGATTCCTTAGGACCCAAGAGACAATTTATGCAGTGCTGACCCCAACTTCTCCTTCAGCCTGTTGCCCCCATTAATTCCCCCGGCCTTCATGCTACAGAGCATGTGACCGAAGGACTTTTTCCCGGGTCCTGGGGAAAAAACAAAACAAAACACCATCTGTTGCTCGTGGGTTATGTAGACTCATGCAATGTGCGGACGCAGGCAGCTGCGCAGCCTTTCAACGACGCACCATTGTGCCTGTGCGTTGAGGCGAGGGTTTATCTGCACACGTGATGACTCCGGAGAGACACCATCCAGGACCCTGGGCTCTTCATCTCGAGCCTGCTGTGAGGGGGTGGGGATGCAGAGGGCAGGAGGAAGAGACCATCTAAATCAGGGCACCAATGGGGAGCCGCAGCTTTCCGGGGAAGTATGGAGGAGGAGCATCAGCCTCTTCCAAAGATGGGTCATCAATGTAGATCTTCTTCATCTGTTTGTTTGGGGTTTTTTTTTTGGTTAGCTGTGGGGCTCGAACTCAAGACCTGGGCACTGTCCATGAGCCTCTTTGTGTTCAAGGCTAGTGCTTTACCACTTGAGCCACAGCGCCACTTCTAGTTTTCTGGTGGTTCAATGGAGATAAGAATCTCACAGACTTTCCCATTGGGCTGGCTTTGAACCATGATCCTCAGAGCTCAGCCTCCTGAGTGGCTAGGATTACAGGCGTGAGCTACAGGCACCTAGCTCATCTATTTTTTTCATAAAAATGACTCCACATGGGCAGGGAATGTGGCTTGGTGGTAGAGTTCTTGCCTTGCATGGATGAGGCCCTGGATTTGATTCCTTGGTACCATATAAACATAAAATTAATAAAATAAAAGGAAAAATAACCATTAAAAATAGTTTATTTTTTAAAGAAGAGTCTCAACGCCAGGCGCTGGTGGCTCAAGCCTGTAATCCTAGCTACTCAGGAGGCTGAGATCTGAGGATCATGGTTCAAAGCAGCCTGGACAGGGATGGCCATGAAACTCTTATCTCCAATAAACCACTAGAAAACCGGAAGTGGTGCTGTGGCTTAAGGGGTAGAGTACTCGCCTTGAGCTGAAGAGCACAGGGACAGTGCCCAGGCCCAGAGTTCAAGCCCCACAATCAACAACAACAACAAAAAGAGTCTCATGGGGAAAAAAGAAATTGCTTGGTGACTCATACCTTGTCATCCTAGCTACTCAAGAGGCTGAGATATGAGGATCGCAATTCAAAGCTAACCTAGGCAGAAAAGTTCCATGTGGTAGAGTGCTAGGTTGCCTTGAGCCAAAAAGTTCAGAGACAGCACCCAGGCCCTGAGTTCAAACTCTGAGATTCCCACATACACACACACAAATCCTGAGCCAGGTTACTGCACCGAGAATGCTAATATGTGCTCACAGCTGAGACTTCTGCAGTTTTATTGATTCTACCATGCACATTTTTTTACGCACATATTAACATCTATTGGATTGTGTCTTACAATATGTGGCATTTTACCATCACTGTCATCCAGATGGTCGTCATGATGCAGTGGTAATTGCCTTGCATGTACAAAACACGGTCATAGCTGTTCATATCGTTGTCAGCTTTTCTTTCTTTCTTTCTTTCTTTTTTTGGTCCGGTTGTAGGGCCTGAACTCTGGGCCTGGGTGCTGTCCCTCAGCTCTTCAGCTCAAAGCTAGCACTCTACCACTTGAGCCACAGCACCACTTCCGGCTTTTTTTTTTCTGCTTATGTGGTGCTGAAGAATCAAACCCAGGGCTTCATGCATGCAAGGCAAGCACTCTACCACTGAACCACCTTCCCAGCCTGGGGCTTGAACTATAGGCCTGGGCACTGTCCCTCAGCTCTTCAGCTCAAGGCTAGTGCTCTACCACTTGAGCCACAGCACCCCTTCAGGTTTTCTGGTGGTTCATGGGAGATCAGCGTCTCACGGACTTTCTTGCCCAGGCTGGCTTTGAACCATGATCCTCAGATCTTAGCCTCCTGAGGAGCCAGTATTCTAGGCTTGAGCCACCATGCACCTGCCCATTTCACCAATGTTTCCTCTCCTCTTCTGTCCTACCAGCAAATTTCGGACTCCATCTGAGCTTCACAACGATAACTTCTCCCTCTCCACCATAGCAGAGGGCTCTCACCCAAACGTAAGGAAACTTTGCGACACTCCCTGTATCTCCTCCCCCCCTGCCCGTGCCTTGGCTCACTATGATAACGTTGTCTGTCAGGTAACTTGCCTTTCTTCACATCTCCCCTTATGCATGCCGTCCCAACCCTCCCCATCTCACCCCTGCCCACACACTTGGGTTGTTTCACAGTACAGAATTTCCATTGCTTTGGGGGTTAGCTCAGGACCTCTGTGGGGATGGGGGGGGAACGAGATGGAGGGGGGGAAAGGGGGAGTTGTCCTGTCTCTGACCAGCAGAGTTACAGGTAGTTGAGATCTTTTTCTAAGATGACTGGTAATTTTTTTTTATTTTATTTTATTGTTTGTTGGTCCTGGGGCTTGAACTCAGGGCCTGGGTGCTGTCCCAAAACCAGAAGTGGTGCTGTGGCTCAAGTGGTTGAGCACTAGCCTTGAGCCAAAGAAGCTCAGGGACAGTGCCCAGACCCTGAGTTCAAGCCCCAGGACTGGCAAAAACAAAACCAGCCTGGGCAGAGAAATTCAAGGGCCTTATATCTAATGACCCAGCAAAGTACTCGACAGGAGCTCAGGGGCAGGACTCAAGTGGTAAAGCACCAGCTATGAGAGAGCGTAAGGCGTGCGCATGCTCTCTCTCACACACACGCAAAATAGATCTGCTGTTTGGGGATGTGGATGATGTCCACACCCCTCCACTGGCCCCCTTCAGGTCTGCACCTTCGCCACTGTGAGTGGCTGAGCAGCCAGCCCTGGACGGAGACCTCAGGAGACTGGTGAGGGCAGACAGAGGAAGCTGAGCCAGCTCCTGTGCACCTGGTGAACAAAGTCACCTGCAACCCATGCGCAGCCTGCCCAACCCCCACCCTCAAGCTGCCCCTTTCTTCCTTATAATAGCAGCTATGGAAGGAATCTGGGGGATCCCTTGGCTCTCTAAAGATTTGACAGGCCTAAAGATCTGATCAGGGTGTGTGTGTGTGTGTGTGTGTGCCTGTCTGTCTGTCTATCTGTCTGTCTGTGTCTATGTGTGTCTGTGCCAGTCTCAGACTTGTACTCCAGGCTGGGCTTTTTCAGTCAAGCCTATGTCTCTACCACTTTGAACCACAGCTCTACTTCCGGTTTTCTGGTGGTTTACTGAAGAGTCTCAGGGATGTTCAAAGCCCCGACTGGCTTTGAACTGTGATCCTCAGATCTCAGCCTCCTGAGTAGTTCATATTACAGGTGTGAGCCTTCAGTGCCTGGCTTTACATTAGTCTATTCCCTGGACGTTATGGAGCCATTTAGTGCTACCCCCCCCTTCTCTTTCTCTCACTCTTTTCCCCGTCCTGGGGCTTGAACTCAGGGCCTGGGCACTGTGTCCCTGAGCTTCTTTTGCTCAAGGCTAACACTCTATCCCTTGAGTCACTGCGCCACTTCCGGCTTTTTCTGTGGATGTGGGACTAAGGAATCGAACCCAGGACTTCCTCCATGCTAGGCAAGCACTCTACCACCCTAGCCACCTTCCCAGCCCATCCTTTAGTGCTTTTTCACTTCCTTTCCATCTTTCTTACTTGCCCTCCCTGCACTTACACGTATGTGGTTGCCTCCTTGCCATAGAGCTTTGCATCTGGACTCCAGACCTGCATCTGTCTTACCCCAGGGTAATGAGGTACCCATATGGCTGGGACAGAGCACTGGGAAAGGAGCCCACAGTGGTTTCCAGAACCTATGGCAGATGTCAATCCTACTCCCTCCTGACTAGGAACATCTTGCCAAGCCAAAAGCAATGGGGCCTTCTACTGTGGGATTCAATGACCTTGAGTCTGATAGGCTCGATTCTAGAGGAGACACTGGCAGGTTGGTGGGGGCGGAGGAAATCTCTGCCTTCGCCTAGCTACTCCTCCACCTGTTCCCTTTGTGGGCACTCCGCTTGCCCAGGAGCCCTGTTTTTTGTTTTGTTTTGCTTTGTTGCTGGTCCTAAGGCTTAAACTCAGGGCCTGGTGCTTTCCCTGAGCCTGTCTATGCTCAAGGCTAGTGTTTTACCACTTTCAGCCACAGTTCCACTTCTGGTTTTTGGTGGTTCATTGGCAAGAAGAATCTCACAGACTTCTTGCCCCGGGTCTGGTTTCCAACCACGATCCTCTGATCTCAGCCTCCTGAGTAGCTAGGATGACAGGTGTGAGCCACCAGCCCTGGGCTTGCTTTTCCCCCCACCCCCCTTTTGTTGATCATGGGGCTTGAACTCAGGGCCCAGGTGCAGTCCCAGAGCTTATTTGCTCAAGGCTAGCACTCTACCACATGGAGCCACAGCTCCACTTCCTGTTTTCTGGTGATTCATTGGAGATAAGAGCCTCACACACTTTCCTGATATGCTAGGATGACAGCATGAGCCACCAGTACCTGGTTCTGGCCACTACTTTTGTAAGAACTACTTTCCTATAAAGAACCTTCTAATAAGCAGGGTGCTTGTGGCTCATGCCTCTTATCCTAGCTACTGAGGAGGCTGAGCTGTGAGGATCATGGTTCAAAACCAGTCCAATGAACTAGCAAAAACAGGGAGTGGAAGTGTAGCTGAAGTGGTAAAGTGCTTTGAGGGGAACACATGGGGCTCTGAGTTCACAGACACACAAAGCACAAAACAATAACTGAAGAAACACCTTAGCAGATAGATATTCGTTGTTGCTGCTGTTTTGTTGTTATTGGTGGTGGTGGTGGTAGTGGTGTGTGTGTGTGTGTGTGTGTAAGCATGCATGTGTGCATGCGCACACATGCATTCCAGTCCTGAGGCTTGAACTCAGATCTGGGCACTGTCCTTGAGCTTTAGTGTTCAAGGCTCTCTAGCTACCACTGGAGCCACAGTTCCTGCTTTTTGCTGGTTAATTGAAGCTAAGTGTCTCACGATCATTCCTGCCCAGGCTGGCTTTGAACCTCTGTCCTTAGATCTCAGCCTCCTGAGTAGCTAGGCTGACAGGTGTGAGCCACTGGTGCCCCACTTACTTTTGGTTTTCTTTAAAGCCTTTGAGGTTTTCTGCTTCGTTCAACTAGACAGAAAAACTCGAGAGGATTATTTGATTGTCTTACCCATTGTCTCTATTCCTCTTTCCCCCCAACTTGTCTCCTTTTCCAGGATGAACCTGGTGCTCCCCACAAAATCCAGGAAGTCCTCAAGTCCTGTCTGAAAGAGGAGGAGCCCTTTAACATCCAGAACTCCATGTCACCCAAACTTGAGGGTGGCAAAGAGGACCAGGCTGACTTGGAGGTGAACTGTCTCCAGAATAATTTAACCTAAAGCAGAACAAGAAGAGAGGAAGGGGGGTGGGGCGGGGGCAGGGAAGGAAAGGAATTTCCCCTTGTACAGAGTCTATTTCTTGTAACCATTTGTTAAACTCTTTTTTCTTTTTTTTTTCTGATCTCATGGCATGCTTTGATGTATTTTGTACAGGAGGGGGAAACACTTAAAATAAGCAAAGGAACTGAACAGAATTGCATACATTGGATGTTTTGTCTGTACATTGCTACTGCTGTGATTTCTAAACCTACGCTGTTATATTCAACTGACTTTTTTTTTTTGTACTTTGACCCACCTTTTTTTGGAATACCAATAAACACACACACACACACACACACACAAGTTCTTGAAATAAAATCTTTTTAAAAAGCTATCCATTTTCTTTTCTGTTTAGGTGGTACTGAGGAATCGAACCCAGGGCTTCATGCATGCTAGGCAAGCACTCTACCACTAAGCCACCTTCCCAGCCTCCACATTATTAATTTTATATCTACCCATTGCCCTGTTGTCAGGTTCCCCCACCCCTCTCTCTATAGACAGGTTCTGGGGCTTGAACTCAGAACTTGAGAGCTGCCCCTGAGATTTTGTGCTCAACACTAGTGCTCTATCATTTGTGCCATAGTTCCACTTCTGGCTTTGTGTGTGTGTATGTATGTGTTGGCCTGGGTCTTGAACTCAGGGCCTGGACGCTTCCCTGAGCTGCTTTTGCTTAAGGCTAGCACTCTACCACTTGAGCCACAGCAAACACTTCTGGCTTTTTCTGTATATATGGTACTGAGGAATTGAACCCAGGGCTTCATGCATGCTAGGCAAGCACTCTACATTTCCAGCTCTCTCTCTCTCTCTCCCTTTTTTCTTCTCAGGTACTGGTGCTTTAACTGGGCCTCTTCTCTTGGCTGGCATGCTCTACTATGAGAGCAAGGCCTCCACTTCTAGCTTTCTGCTGCTTAATTGGAGATATGAGTCTTGTGGATTTGTCTCCCTGGAGCTGGCTGTGAATTGTCGCTCTCAGATCTCAGCCCCCTGTTGGCAGTTATAATCCAGCCACTTCTTTCCTTGTTTTTTTGTTTTGTTTTTGTTGGTCATGGGGCTTGAACTCTAGGCCTGGGCTCTGTCCCTCAGCTCTTAAGCTCAAGGCCAGCGCTCTACCACTTGAGCCACACCACCACTTCTGGTTTTCTGGTGGTTCATTGGAGATAAGAGTCTCACAGACTTTCCTGCTTGGTGGCTTTGAACCACAATCCTCAGATCTCTGCCTCCTGAGATGCTAGGGTTACAGGTGTGAGCCACCCAAAACCGGCTCCATTTCTCACTGAAGTTGTGGAGGCTGTGACCAGATGGGGAGGGTCTTAGAAGTCCAGGCACCCTATGGGAATTGATTCAACAGCAAACATTCCAATAGCCAGGTTTGCTATTTAGAGAACTTTCTAGAACATTTTGCCTGAGTTCAGTCTGTGATAATCCGAGTTGTTGGGCTCCTTTGGCTGCCTAATTCCTCCTGATCCTGGATTTATATTCTCCTGTGCCTTGTTATTTTGTTTTCATTTTCTGCTAGTTCTTGTTTTTGAAAAGTGATTAAAATATCTTGAGTCCTGGGGCTGGAACTCAGGGCCTGGGAACTGTCCCTTGAGCGAGCTTCTTTTGCTCAAGGCTAGCTGCTCTACCACTTGAGCCACAGCGCCACTTCTGGCCTTTTCTGGTTTATGTGGTACTGAGGAATCGAACCCAGGGCTTCCTGCATGCTAGGCAAGCGCTCTACCACTAAGCCACCTTCCCAGCCCCTTCTCGACACATGTAGGAGGGCTAGGAAAACCCAGGCAGGAAGGGGTGCAGAGGGAGACAGTGGAAACCCATTGAGCAAAATCACCAGGTGTTGCCAAGAGTTTGTCCTGGGGAAGAAAGGCAGAGAAGGGTTGGAGGATGGATTGATTGCTATCCAGCCTGTCGTCTTTCCTGCCAGGATTTGTGGCTGCCCAATGAGTGTAATCGAGAGATTTGGACAGTGAGACTCTGGAGAATCCTCCTGCTTCCCTAATAGCTCTCCTCGCCCCATTCCCAACAGCATTTGCTTCATTCTTGGGACAGATTCTTCCTGTACTCGTGTTTTTTTTCCTCTGTCACTGTCTCTGTGTCTGTCTCTGTCTCTTTCTCTCTCTCTCAGGTACTAATACTTTAACTGGGCCTCTGCTCTTGAATAGTTCTTTTTCATTCCTGCCTGGCACACTCTACTATGAGAGCCAGGCCTCCACTTCTAGCTTTCTGCTGCTTAATTGGAGATAGGAGTCTTGCGGACTTGTCTCTCTAGAGCTGGCTGTGAATTGTCCCTCTCAGATCTCAGCCCCCTGTTGGCAGTTATAATCCAGCCACCTCTTCCTTTTTGTTTTGTTTTTGTCGGTCGTGGGACTTAAACTCTGGGCCTGGGCGCTGTCCCTCAGCTCTTCAGCTCAAGACGAGTGTTGTACCTCTTGAGCCACAGCGCCACTTCTGGTTTTCTGGTGGTTCATTGGAGATAAGAGTCTCTCTGCCACTGGACCACTAAGTCACATTCCCAGCCCACCCGAGTGCTTTCTGATGTTGCAATTAATCACTGTAAAGTGATTTTTCCCTCCTTGATCCTAGGGCTTGATCTCAGGGCCTAGGCACTGTTCCTGAGACCCTTTGTGCTCAAGGCTAGCACTCTACCACTGGAGCCACAGCACCATTTCCAGCTTTTTCTGAGTGCTTTATTGGAGATAAGAGTCTCACAGACTTCTCTGCCTGGACTGGCTTCAAAATGCAATCCTCAGATCTCAGCCTCCTGAGTAGCTACAATAACAGGCGTGAGCCACTAACACCCAGCAAAATATTATTATTGTTAATGGTATAAACCATTTATCTTTGGGCATTAGTGGCTCATGCCTGTCATCCTAGCTACTCAGGAGGCTGAGATCTGAAGATCATGGTTCAAATCCAGCCCAGCAGGAACATCCATGAGACTCTTATCTCCAACAAACCACCAAGACAACTGGAAGTGGTGCCTGTGGCTCAAGTGGTAGAGCGCTTGCCCTGAGCAATAAGAGCTCAGGGGAAGTGCTCAGGCCCTGAGTTCAAGCTCCAGGACTGGGGGGAAAAAAAAAATCTTGGCTGTCTGTTTGGGTCTACCCTCTTGTTGCTGGGTGCAGAAGAAAGAGAGTTGGCCTTCTCCTTTCTTGGCAGTGCCCGTGTTCATTTGAAGTTACCCACGCCAGGCCCAGTGGGCAATCTGAGCTTCCACCATTAATCACACGGCCTGCTGCAGCTGCCCCACGCAGCGAGCTTTGAGGGTCAGCCAGACCCTCTGGTGGGAAATGCTCGCTGCTCTAATTGGACCTCTCTAGGGAACAGTAGGCCCTGGGTCACATTTGTCTTTCTTCTGATGGCCATTGCACCCTTGCCAGGGGACAGCCGGCTTCCTGGTGCAGCTGGCTCTGCAGCCAGCCAGGGCAGAAGTTCACTCTTGTTCTACAGATGAGGGAACCACGGGACAGTCTGGGTCCCTGCCCACGGCAATCACCAAGGCCAAGTCAGGTTACCCAGAGTAACCATCAGAAAGTAGGTGACAGGCCCCTGCTTCTTCCCCTCATTGGCTGGCAATGCCAATGAGTTCCCACAGGAAAAGGAAAAAAAAAAAGAGCTCGCTTGGGCTTACGTAGTCACCCAAACCCTATCCAATACCAGGCACAGAACCGGGTGTCATGAAGAAATATCTTGGTGAGAATCATCACGCTCACCCAGAAGTCCTGCCAGACCTAAAAAAAAAAAAAAAAAAAAAGAGCCAACAGGGCTGGGAAGGTGGCTTAGTGGAAGAGTGCTTGCCTTGCATGCAGGAAGCCCTGGGTTCGATTCCTCAGTACCACATCCACAGAAAAAGCCAGAAGTGGCGCTGTGGTTCAAGTGATAGAGCACTAGTCTTGAGCCAAAGAAGCTCAAAGACAGTGCCCAGGTCCTGAGTTCAAGCCCTTGGACTGGAAAAAAAAAAGCCAACAAGCCAAGCACCAGTGGCTCATGCCTATAATCCTAGCTATTCAGGAGGCTGAGATCTGAGGATCACATTTTAAAGCCTGCCTCAGGAAGAAAATTCCGAGAGATTCTTTGTGTTATTGCATCATCATCATCATCATCATCATTATTATTATTGTTATTATTATTATTATTACTATTATTATTTGCCAGTTCTGGGGGCTGAACTGAGGACCTGGGCACTGTCCCTGAGCCTCTTTGGTTCAAGGCTAGCACTCTACCACTTGACACACACAGCCACTTCTGGCTTTTTCTGTGGATGTGGTACTGAGGAATTGAACCTCGGGTTTCATGCATGCTAGGCAAGCACTCTACCACTAAGCCACATTCTCAGCCCTCTTTGTGTTATTATTGTTGGTCATGGGGTTTGAACTCAAGACCTAGGCACTGTCTCTGAGCTCTTTTTGCTCAACATTCTACCACTTGAGCCATAACACCATTTCCGGTTTTCTGGTGGTTCATTGGAGATAAAAGTCTCATGGACTTTCCTGCCCTGACTGGCTTTGAACTAAGATCCTCAGATCTCAGCCTCCTGAGTAGCTAGGATTACAGGTAAGAGCTACCAGTGCACAGCTTGAAAGAATTTTTCTTTTTCTTTTTGGCTGGTCCTAAGGCTTGAACCCTTGGCCGGAACACTGTCCCTCAACTCCTTTTGCTCAAAGTTAGCACTCTACCACTTAAGCCACAGTACCACTTCCAGCTTTTTCTGATTTTATTGGATATAAGAGTCTCACAGACTCTCCAGCTCCGTCTGGCTTCGAACAGTGATGCTCAGATCTCAGCCTCCTTTGTAGCTAGGATTACAGGTGTGAGCCACCAATGCCCAGCTGTTCAAAGTATTTTTTTTTTGGATGGTCAAGGGGCTTGAACTCAGGGACTAGGTGCCATCCTTGAGCTCTTTTGCTCAAGGCTAGTGCTCTACCACTTTGAGCCACAGTGCCACTTCCAGTTTTCTGGTGATTCATTGGTTCAAGCCCCAAGACTGGCAAAAAAAAAAAAGCAAGAAGTGGAGGTATGGTTTACATGGTAGAGAAGGCACCATCCTTGAATTTAAAAAAAGCTAAGGGATTCTGACCATTCCCTGAGTTAAACCTGAGTACTGGGCTGGGAAGGTGGCTCAGTGGTAGAGCGCTTGCCTTGCATGCATGAGGCCCTGGGTTCGATTCCTCAGCACCACATAAGAAAAAAGCCGGAAGTGGCGCTGTGGCTCAAGTGGTAGAGCCTTGAGCTGAAGAGCTGAGGGACAGTGCCCAGAGTTCAGGCCTCAC